GCTAGAATTTCAATTGGCGTCAGAGCATGCACCCTGGTCTGTTTATTGGGTGAGCTTCAAAGATAATTTTCTGGTACTATTTGTGTTTTAGAAGGATAAAATTTTAGCATTCTTGAAATTCAATGGAAAGCAGATTTTGGAAATTTATCATGTTGAAAGAATCCTGGTACTAAGGACATAGAATGGAAGAGTTTGAGTTGGCTTAATGTACCTCTGAAGTTGTTATTGCCATAATCAATAGAGTTGATAAGCCTTTTGTTCAGACTAATTATCACATGTATTGTGGCCAAAGATACTTGGGAAATTCTCAAGTCCACTCATAAAGGCACATCTATATTTAGGAGAAAAAGTTCATAAGAAAGGTTAATCAAAAAGAAGATACCCAGGTCTCTACCCAAGAGATTTGACATGGTAGAAGAACAACAACATGGCTTTTGTTTCTAACTATGTTGATAAAAAGGAGCTATGTTCCCTAGAATCTGACGAAGGGTTATCTAATGTTGTTGTGTTATTGTAAGGCAATTTAACCAGGTCATGAGGAGAGTGGATAGAACGTCAAGGCCAAATGTCAAGAACATTAGTCTTAATTTCAACTAGATCTATATGGTCAAATATAAGCTAGAACATAAATAAAGGCCAATCAAGGTCAAGCATTTAGTAAAATGGATGTGAAGGTTTTGGAATTCTTAGAGCAGAATGCCCTACCTATATCAAGAAACATTTTAATGGGTTTTCTATTTACTAGTCTGGTGAGGATCCTGTTGATATATCTGCCAAGTATGTTACTGCTTTATCTGGAAGGTGAGTTTTTGATGTAGATTCCAGTTAAAAGAATATATTGTGATGAACTGGATGTTTTCTTCAAAAATTATGGATCATAAGTGAAGAATTTTATTAACAAGGAGAAAAACATAAGGTAATTATTTCTTAACTACTGGCTAATAAGGAAGAATGTTTGTCTTCTATCTTAACCTGCAGAATAAGGTATTCTTGTTGACCTACAAATTGATAGCATGATCAAGTCTGTGAGGGTGTTGAACAATAGTTCAGATATGATGAAGGTATCTCTTGAATAGGGTATGGTTATCAAGGCTCTAATAAGAAAAAAAACATCTAAGTAACAAACCTAAGTAGCATCCGACTCTTAACAAAATTCTAGAACTTCCTTTTATGAATCTAGTAAGGCCAATGCAAGAAAAGAGTCTTGGTGGATAGAGGCAGATTCTTCAAGGAAAGTTGTGTTCCAAGTGTAATGAATGGATATGTTTGAGTTACTTTACCAAGAGCAGGCCATATAGAGATGTTATCTGCAGGACCAAGGTCAATGATCCTAGCATTAAGAAGGGAACTGATATCCAAGCAGTTGCTGGAACATTATCTCAACAGTTTAAACTCAGGAAATGAGGCACACTCTCAAGAGCTAACATGAACTGAATAAGAGAACTCTCATGCTAAGTTTATAAAAGGGAAAATTTTTTTGGAGTTTATGATCACCCATTGAGTTAGAAATAATATATCTATGTTTGGTTATTTTTTTTTGGGAAAACTAGTGTCTCAAATGGAGTTTCAAGATCAAGTCGGATGTGGATAGTATTGATAAGGATGTTTCGTCTTGGGAAACAATCTTGTCTCTTAGATCAACAATAAATTAATTTATGTCCTTCTTTAAGGCTAAGTATGATGCTGAAGGAAGCTGGTATTCTAAAATTTCTAAAATATTATAAAGTCCAACAAGATGTCCTAACATTGTTTTGTGGAAAGTTAGTTAAGTTCATATATTCAAGGATGTCAAGCTTCATAGCAGGACAAAGCTCATTAATAATGGTCACAATTTTGTCAGTGGTCTTGTTATATGAAAAATGGTTCTCCTAAGCTTGGGACCTATGAGAAGGTACTAGAAGATATTTCTAGTAAGTCCTTGGATGCAAGTTTTTTTTTTAATTTTTGAGGGGTGGTTTGGAGATTTATACTACTAAATTAATTATAGTAATTTTTGAGGGGTGGTTTGGAGATTTATACTACTAAAATAATTATAGCAAGTACAGTTTGAGAGGATTGAAAACAATAGTTTCTCTCTCCTCCACCTAGTGGTGCATGATGTGGTTATGTCTTGATAAAGGAATATCCCCGTAGTCAAGCTTGGAAAGAAAAGAAGAAGAATAAAAAAGTGTCTCTCTCCTGTGGTGAGTGGTGCATTGATAGTTAAGGATAAATCCACTTCCTTCAAAAATGCTCTCATTGACTAGACTATCGTTACAAATAAGGTAATTATTCTCTTTTAAGAATCTGTCATTTCAAGCAAGGTGGTTCTCTGTTATTGCATCTCCCTCCTCACAAGCTGTGTTTCAACATGAGCCAATCGTTCCAAATTACTGATGTTAAAAAGGTTCATTTTCTAGAAGGCAAGAGTGGATGAAGTCAGTCAAGAAAAGTCATGCTCGTGTCTCCATTTTTTTTAATTTCGTATGTTTCCTTTTCTAGTGTGTTCCCATTTTGTTTTTGTCAATTTTTGACTAAAAAGGTGGAATAAAGTGTGTGTTTGTGTGTCCTGATGTTATGTCATATGTCTTTACATGATTCACATGTTGATGGAATTGTACTACTGTTAAGGGAAGAATGGTGAGTATGGTTGCTTGCTGCGTACAACTATTTAAGGGAGCATGATTGTCTCTCATGCTATTGTTTGGTGCTTCTTCTGCTGTTTTTGGTTGTTGTCTGTGTGCAGGATGTCCTATTAGATGTTCTAACATCCTGCCTATTGTGTTGTATGGAGAACCGTGGTTACCTTATGGTAGTCTAGGACTATAATGCTCTGAGTTATGTGTGTTGCTTCTACTGCATGTTCTTCTAATGTGTGAACTTTGATAGTTCAAGTTGGAGTTCAAGGTTGATTTTCTTGTGCTTTGGGTTTTTCCCTTGAAGTTCATGGTTTTTTTCTTGTGTCTTGGGTTTCCCCTTGAGGGGGGAATTGGTTATGTGTGACAGATGATGTTTTGGACCTGTCTGGAGTTGGAGTTGTACTGTGTGATGTCAGACCACATGTCTTGACATATGTCTGAACTTGTAACTGCATGTAATCTCTGATATATTTTTATGTTTGTAATTTGTACAAATTTTACATGTTTGCATGTAGCTTGTGTTTTATCAATGTGGTATTATTCCTCTCTCCAATTTAATTGTGTTAAGGTTGTTTTAGCCAAAATTTATCAAAGGGGAAGATTGTTAGATCTATGGTTTTTGGATTGGCAGTAACTTTGTTAAAACATAGTTCTTGACAGATGTTGAGCAAGATGTTATAACGTCTTGACCAAACGGATACAACAGAGTGTGAGCTTACATTGAAGACAGATATTATGACATATTGAACCAGAATATCAGTATAAGTTGTTTTAAATCTTGACACATTTGATTTAATTTTGTGATATTTCTTTTGTGTATATCTCAATAGTTTGCGCAAGTCAAGAAGATTTAATCTGGAACAGGTGATTCAATCTCCAGTTGTACATAAGTTTCTAAAATTGGATGTTAAGACAATTCAGGAAACTTGATGTTTTGTTCTAAAATTTAAGGATATTTTTCAGCATAATTGGCGCAGCCCTCAGCCTTTGGATCAAGAAATATTTGGGTGAAGATTTTGAAGCCCATGGACTACTGGGGTGTATTTAAAGAGAAACCTAAACCTAATGTAATTCAACTTTTCACAATTGTAAAATTAGGGTAAGTCTTAGATTTTGATAGTCTCTTGTGTTTTTGTAAGTCACCCATGTATCTTTTGATATAGTGAGGTAGATTGATTGTTAGTTGATTGTTTATCAAATTATTGTTCTCACTTTTGAAGCTTTTAAGCATAAAGTTGAGTATTGTTCTTAGTTGAAACTTTTAAGCAAAACTAGGTATTGTTTATTGGATGTGTAAACTTATAGTTTTGATTATAGTCATTGGAATTGTGATTGTATTTTATCACTGAGGTGATTGGTTGTAAGTAAGAGGGAATCTCATCTCTAGAAGATTTTTAGGTAGAAGTTGCGCAAGATAGTGATTATGTGAGAAGTTGTAAACTAAGATTGTTTAGGCTTTGAACTAATACTGTCATAGTGAATCTTTTTGGCTTTGTAGTCCCCAGAATAGGTGACGTTGCACTAAATTGGATTAACAATCAACTGTGTTATTTATCATTCTGCAATTTATTTCTGCATATTTTACAATTTGATATTATTGTATCAAGAATAAATGTCACAACATTTGTCTTAACATTGTGTTATGATGTTGGGTTATCAATATTAACATGTATTATAAATGTCAGAATTTCATATTAGATATATATTTAATGACTTGAGACTTTGAATGGAAATACTCTCTTGAGATTTATTAGGTCATGATTGTTTGCTCATTTAGCCTATTGTTGCTCAACGAACTCTCCAACAATTTGCTATATTAAGAATGTTTTTTTGGGTTGTGTTAGAAAATTATATCTAGGTATAGAAAGCCACTGTACAAAAATGTTACCCAGGCCTATAAATATATGCGATGGAGAAAGTATTGATGGCAATCACATTCAAACTCTCGGTTGCACAATTTATTATGTGAACTTAATAGCACATTAAATAGTAACAATTGTAATAGCACACACAAACATAAGTGCAAAACTGTTGCTGCATTTATGCTACCTAACCTATACTTGTGCTTGACCAAGCAAGCAAGCAATCACGTAAAAGAAACACTTTTAACTCTCTTGTTTTAAATTCTTACTGTTTTTGCTTCTTTCCTTCAAACAACAAAAGCTTAAACAATCTTGTGATCTAAGTGTCTGGTATCCTCATTCGCACCCTCTTTCATGTGACAACCCCTTATCACACTCTCCTTTTGCCTGTGAACTGATTCAATTCCATGCATTATTTGCTACCTATATATATTTTTGGTTCCTTCACAACATTCACCATGTACCGAGAAGAACATTTCATAAAAACAACACTTTGAAATTGCAAGAAAAATTAATCATAATGAGGAGAAGTTTGGTCTATGCTGCTGCATTTTTTCTTCTTTTACTTTACGTTCCAATCATTACCTCTTCAAGGCACATAAGCCACTCAAATTCACGTAAGTCTCCAATTCTTTTTATTTTGTTTTTTTTGACGTGTCAAATGTTTATGTTAATATTCATGTTTGTGTTATTAATAGGACATGGACATTCAAAACATGAAGTGGCAAATATGCGGGGGCCGATGGAAGTAGCCGGATCACGGTTGCCGGATTGTTCGCATGCATGCGGGTCGTGTTCGCCATGCAAATTGGTGATGGTGAGCTTAGTTTGTGCATCACTAGCAGAGGCTGAATCATGTCCAATGGCTTACAAATGCATGTGCCATAACAAGTCCTATCCTGTTCCATAGAATGATAGTAAATTTCAAGTTTCAATTTCTAGTTGTAATATATGTAGTGCCCATTTTCCTTGTTTTTTTCTTCTTTGTTTTGCAACATGGTCGAAACGGTTTCCTACCAATGAAAATGGTTTTTGGTACTATGAAAATTAATGTTTGAGATTATGAATATCCATTGCAATATTGCATTGCATTTTTTTATGTAGAGAATTTGCTTAGTGATGTGAATTCAATGCTTGATTTATATAGGCTGGCCTTCTTGGGCCGTAGACTTAAAGTAAATCAATATTGTCGACAATAAACACTGTTTATATAAATATGTTTATTATAATATATTTATTCTAGCCACTAAAAGGAAATTATTGAAATGTTTGGAGTGATCATGGCCACCCTCTGTCCCCACGTAGGTTCGCCAATGGGTTCAAGATAACTTTAATTTAATAGTAAAACAAACTTTTAGTTGGCACAAACTATCCAAATATCAGAAATTAAGTAAAATCAATTTTACATATACATATTCAAATATAAATCAAATTATATTCAACTCACTTTAATTTAAATTAATTCAGGCAGAATAAAATCACTTATATTCAACTCACTTTAATTTAAATTAATTCAGGCAGAATAAAATCACTTTGAATTAATTTTGACCACAATTGAACCACACCTACACACCCTTTATTTTAAATTATAAAACATTTTGGTTATTTCATACGAATTAAATAATATAATTATTATTTTATGTAAAAGTGAAATGATATATAACTTTATAAAAATTTCTTTCAATAATTATATTGAAAATTGAAATTTAAAAAATTGAAAGAAGAAAGAGAAATAAATAGTAAAAGATATATTAGGCAAGAAATAATTAATATTGTATTGGGATTGTAAAGTGAGTTATAATTTGAGGTAAATATTTTTGGCAAAATGACTTACTTCCTCCGTAACGAATATAAGTAAATTTGACTTTTTTGGTACATTTAACAATTAATATATGTATACATTAATTGTCAATCGTTACGGAGGGAATATAATTTAAGACATAGGGAGTATTAAGTTGTTGAGAAAAATAAGTGTAAGTTAGAAGTGTGGAGAAACAAGTGTAAGAAAATCTCACATTGGTAAGAAAAGTGAAGATCGAGTACTTTATAAGTGAGAGAACTCATACACCTATTATCTTAAGGTTTTGAGTGACTATGTGGTGTGTTTCTCACAAGGTGTGTTACTTATAAAAGGAAAGCTTCATTGTAAAAATGTTTCCTCATATTGATCTTTGAATTGCTGACCTAAAAGTGGTATCATGAGTTGTTGGTTCAAGTGAAGGATCGACTTACTTGTATCAATAGTCCTCCTCCCAACATGGAGGTGGGTAAGAGGTATGTCCCGATACAAGTGTATGTGGATGAAAGAGCTTCCACTTGAGGAAGTATTGGGGATAAACTCACGCTTGAGAGCGAGTGTTGAGAAAAACAAATGTGAGTTGGAAGTATTGAGAAACAAGTGTGAATGAGCATTTTATAAATGAGAGAACTCACACATCTATCCTATATGCATCACTTAGAGTTGTGACTGCCTTTGAGACCAGACAATTTGTGTTAGCTTAGAATTTCGCATACCCAAAATATTGAAGAGAAATGAGAAATAACGAAGTAAAATTAGCTCTAAAATAAATATGAGAATATTTTATGAGGATTTTGACTAACGGGACTATGGATAGTTTGATCTTGTTAAATATTGGCGAAATTCTATTTTGTGAGTAAAAGGGACTTAAGATTTTGAAGATTCGAAGTTGAATATTTCGAAAGAGTCACATTGTTGGTTTGGCACTTCGAAGGGAAGAAGATTTTGAATTCAAATAGGTTGATCTTATCCAAAAGGAAGCGTGGAAGTCTGAACTTTTGAAGGACATGCAAACATCGAACATGACATCCTTTTAGAGGAAGACCGTTATGGTCGAATTAATATAAATTAGGACCTGTATGTTAGGATTTAGGGTGTTCACTTTTGTACAAATTACTCAAATAAACTCAAAGTACCGAGTGTTTAGAGAAACAAGTTGCTGAGAATGTACGTATGAATCACCATATTTTATTCAATTGTCAATTTACATTTACAAAAGTTCTTTTAATTCCTTTTACATTCCAGTCGAAGTCTTTTTACTTTCCTATTATTATTTCACATAGTATTACAGTTACTTACCAATTAACCATCACATCTGAAAAGATGAACATTCAAAAACCATAATTTGCTAAACTAGACACATGTTCTAGGATCAATCTAGTCAACCCTGTAAATAACCAAACTATATTTGTTTTGAAAGACTAGCGGTTGTTTGCTAAATATCACGGTAAACAAATTGGCACACCTAGTGGGACCAATATCTAAGTTTGTGTCACAAATTTTGTTTTGTCTTATATTGTCTTTTGTTTCAGTTTATTTGTATGACATTGTTGTATGATATTAAGGAGTGGAAAATTAGCCAAAAACTAACGAACCAATACCAAAAAGGAAATACACTAGGAAGATGGTTAACCCACCCAATATTAATAGAGAACAACCACCCTTTTGAAAGGGGAAAGTAGGGTTGCGTTATCTGCAATCGAATCGATACTCATTCAAGCGAATACAACGGGAATATCGACAAATGCTTTTAGCGGTTCGGTAATATCCCCAGTGCATACAAAGGATCCCCTAGGGACTCCAAGACCACCATGAGCGAACAATTTCAGGCATTTTGCGTCTGGATTCACAATGCCAATGATTGGCCGCAAATAAATTTATGGCATGCCAACAACGATATTGGCTAGCCTAAACAATAGTACATCAATATTCCCTGATCCAAGAGTATCTACCTTTTCACCATTACAAGGATCAGGATCAGGAAACAATAACATGGGTCGAAATGTTCCACGCTCAGGATTAACTACCCAATTACCTACCCTCACAATGAATTCTGCAGCAGCAATTCGACAATAGATGGATGATAGCAATCATGAAACAGTTGGTATTTTAGCCCAACAAATAGGTACAATCTTTAACCCATTAATCCAAATTGCTACTCAAATCGACCAACAAAATTCCCAGACGAATCATAAGTTGGCATCGCAGATGGCGCGAATTGCATATTTCTTTGGCGCTCCCCAAGTCCTAGTTTGACAAACCCTTCGAGATTGGATGAGGAAAAACAAGGGTTTGTAGTCGAAGAGGACCCAACAATAAATCAGGCGCAACCAATGGCGCAAAATGTTGGAGAATTCAATCAAGGGCCAAGAATCGAACAACCCATGATCGAATAAGCAATACCAACGAAAGTTTAAGCCCTAAGGGTAGTAATGGTCTATCAAAAGTAGGACGCTGACGAAGTCCTTCAACGTGTTTGACAAGACTTATACCCAGGGAAAATAATATGGAAGCCATGGTCGAAATAATCATGGCTTGAAATAGGGTAAATATAGGCTTTCGAATGCCAACTTACACATCCCCTTCGTCTGAATATGTTCTACAGACTGACTTACCTAGGGGTTGGAAAGTCCCCAAGTTCCTAAAATTCTCTACTGACACCACTGAATCTACTGTTGAACATATAGTCAGGTATCTTACCGAGGCCGAGGACATAGAGAATAATGAAAACTTAAGGATAAAATACTTCCCTAGTTCGCTAACAAAAAATGCTTTCACATAGTTTACCACCCTCCCAACGAGTTCCATCTATGATTGGGCTCATTTAGAAAGATTATTCCATGAACAATTTTATATGGGACAATCAAAGATTAGTATCAAAGAATTGGCTAGTATCAAAAGAAATTTTACTGAGCCAATTGATGCTTACTTAAACAAGTTTCGTTTGTTGAAGGCAAGGTTTTTTACACATGTGTCTGAACATGAATTGGTCGAAATGGCCGCGGGCGGTTTAGATTACTCCATTCGAAAGAAATTATACACCCAATACTTAAGGGACATGGCCCAATTAGGATATCGAGTTCTACAAGTCGAACGTCTAAAGAATGAAAAGGCTAGGGCAAATAAAAACAATAGAAAAAGAAAGGGTTTCATATGTTGTAGCCAAAGAAGATAAACAAGAGATTTATAGTAACCCTATAGGCTTCGAAGAAGGCGAAGTGGACTTGAATGAATTGAAACAAGGCCTACCCTATTTTTGTAAAGTCTTAGCCCCTTTGAATGGGAAGAATCTTGTCGAACCTGAAAAAAATGATAAATTCCCTAAGAAAACATACACTTTCGATGTGACGAAATATGATGAAATTTTTTATTTATTGGCGAAGGATAGTCATATGATAATGTCACATGGCACCGAATTTCCCTTGTTAGAACAACGGAAGAAAAGAGGTTTTTTAAAATATCATATTTTTTTAGGAGACAAAACCTCACAATGTTTTCTTTTCATGGATCTAGTTCAAAATGCTATTAGAGAGGAAAGGCTAAGGTTCGGCGAAAAGCGAAAGATGAAGGTTAACATTGATCCTTTGCAGATAGAAGATACCACTTATGATGAACCAGCAGATATTATCATGGTGGAGGTTACTGAGGGCCCCATCAACCAAGACCTTGAAGGTAAAATCACTGAAGCATATATCAACAAAGATGTTAAGGGTAAGACTGCTGATGGTTTTACTCCAGATGTTGAAATGACGAAGGCCAATGAAGTCCTCATAATCAAATTCCAATAAGTCAGGATCATAGATGGTCCCAACCTCAAAGTGAACATGGTGGAAATGAGCCAACATGCGAAGATGGATGATGTCGAAAGGCGTATCCAAAAATAAGAAGAACAGATGAAAGTGGTGTACCAAAAAATGGGAGAAAATTTACTGGACTTTCTTGTTCGCTGTCAGAAGAAACACTCTGAGGCTTTCATGTGTCCTAGATATAGTGCAATATATGATAGAAAAGTTGTAGAGAACTATGAAAGGGTTCAGGTTTCTCGAAAGAGGGGAAATTAGAGAGATGCCAAGAGTGGGTTTGTGTTCAACAAATGAGGAGTCCCTCGAAGGCCAGATAATCCTTATCCTCATGTGAATCTGTGATACCCCAAATTTGCATGTCCTTTACTTCTACGCTCAAAAAATATTTTCAAAACATTGATTTTATAATATTCTTTTATTTTTATAAATTTTCGTTTCCCAACCTATTTAAAAATATAATAATTTATTCCAAATTATTTGTATTTTTTAAAATAGTAAATATCTGCACACCTTTCATATACTTTCAAATTGAGTTTATTTACAAATTAGTAACATAGTACAATTGGTAAAGAATGAAGCTTGCAAGCGTAAGGTCATGGGTTCAAATCTCTTGTGTCGCACTTTTGACATTTTCTTTTTTCTATATTTTGTCACTAATTTTCTTTCCTTTTTTGAAAATCAAACTTTGAGCTTTCTTTTGGGATTTTGGATAACGTGATCTCTAAGTCTTTGTTAACCTAATTCACTCTATAAATAAGACTATTATTGTCCTAAGATTTTCATCCACAAATCAACAATCCACAAATTTCACAATGATTCTTTTTCATTTTTTGTATAGGATTGTTATTTTTATCAGACAACAACTATTCTTGGCCGATGATTATATATGAGCCCCTTTATCTTTATATTTATTTTGTTAAACCAAATGATGAACATATATATGATGGTTTCTTATTTTAATCTATATTTCAATTTTCAACTTTCAAAAATATTGTTTCTTCACGAAACTTGTTAGTTACTTTTTATTCAACACATAATAGTATTGTTTGACAGTGATTCTTGATAATTATATGCTTATTAATTCTTAGTGGAAATTTTCATTCTCATCAAAACCATACCAAACATCTCTTCCACGTTACTGTTACTGCAAAAGTATAGAATCAATTTTTAGTCAAACACTAACTATTTACAATCAATAAACCATCTCTTTCCTTCGACAACCTTTACATTCAAATCCAACCAAAAAGCCAAAGTTAGCATAAACCGTAAAATATCAGATACACCTACAACAAGACTCTGTAACCAAGAAATATAAAACATGAACAGAGGTATGAAGGAGTCTGAATCTAGAATGGACGTCCAACCAGTCTGTGCTTCCCTTTACGCCCCTGTGATTACCATCATCACTGTCCATGAGCCTGCCGCTTCAACAACCGCAGATCACCTCCGCAAAGAGCATCACTTTTTTCGTCAGAGCCCATGCCTTCACTCTTACCATAGCCATGCCCTCCGTATATCCATCATAGCCGCCGGTGAGTTTCCTTTGTTCCTAATATCATGAGTCCCTTTGATTTGTTGATTAATTATGAGATTTGTGGGTTTTGAAAAAAAATGAAAGGAAATAGAGAGAAAGATAACACACTAAAAAGGAAAAGGGTCATGAGAATAAATAAGAGAAAATTAATCTCTTTTAATTTCCTTTTCTTATTTTATGGGTTGTTTATTGTTATTTAATCCCCTCCAAGTGTTGCGATATTATTGGTTTTTGTTTGAAACTTAAAAAAAATATCTTTTGCCAATTTAATTTGTTAATTAAGTTCAAGAAATTGAATGGAGAACAAATAGGTCTATTTCCGTTGGTTATCATAATTTTTGTTTTTTTTATTTGTTGTTTCCATTATTATCATTGCCACATGTCTAATTTTCAGTGGCTAGGGTTTATTTTGAAAAAGACAAAGTTTGAATTCTAGAACAATAGGGGACCGTTCATGTACGTTTTTTTTACCAATTGTTAGTTTTATTTGTTATTAATAGTTTTAAATCATAGACTTAAATTAGGGTTAATTAGTGGTTAGTTTTCTTTTTTTCTATTATTATTATTATAATATTTTAATTACTTACATTATGTTGTTTCTATTGATTTAATTTTTTTATTATTAGTTAATCTTGATTAAATTAAAAATGACAAAGATTACTAACTTGTATATTTTTTAGGATTCTCCAACTAATTCATCATAATTCTCTAATTTGTATATAATTCAAATATTTTTCCAAATCAAAATTAATTAATTCAACATTCTATAAATAATAGGATGTCCATCTTCGAGTAATTAAATTAGTCGATACATCGTCTACCGATTTATTATTCAAAAATTAAACAATTAAATTCATGCAACTCACCAAATTCACCATCTGCGAGTGACGCGCGACCAATATCTAGCCACGCGATGAGGAGACTATATCAGACTCACCCACTCTATGTGCTACTATATTCTTTAATTAAATCAAAACATCAAAATAACTAACCAACAACAAATCATTTTTTTACTAACATAACAAAAGCTACAAGATTATTTTTGAAAAAGGTTTAAGGATAAATACTTTTGAAATTAACTGCTAATTGCGTCTACGATCACTCTTTTACAAAAATCAGACAAGGTTCAAGGATAAATTTGAAAGAAATTCTACGCAATCCTATAAAAAACACCAATCAACACTGCAAACTACGAAATGGGACTCTGATTCCTCCTAAGAGGATACGTAGGCATCCGATGAAAATCGTTGTGAGTCCCACTTATTAAAATTAAAACCCTTTTTCCCCTAATAAAATAATTAAAACCTATTCTCTAAAGATTGTGCTTCTAAACCCTAGTATCCTTGTGAACAAGGTAGATGAGGGGTTCCTAACACCTTCCCTTCGTCTAGAACCGAGTCAAAAAACCTAGAATCTATGACTTTTTAGGTATAACCTTTATATTCCCTTCCTTAGAATAAAAATTAAGGGTGGAGACTCTTATTTTAAAACCAGTTACAACTGAATCGAAGGGCAACTTTTAAGCCACCTGCCAACGGTCCAACCGTCAGATGGCTGAGGCCAGCTGAGAATAGGGGGACGGGTAAAGAGAAGTGGAGAATTTTCGAGTTTGCAAGAGGCTCATCTATAGCCTACAGGAGATAATTTCAAGTGTCAAAGCAGAAAGCCTATATATCTGAAAACTACAAGAGAAAGAATCCAATGTCGAGATCTCCATGGAGGAGACATTGGAGAATCAAGAAGGCACAAAGGGAAATGGGGGAATCTAGCACCAACCAACTCCTTCCTTAAAGAAAAATTGAGGAGATGAGTCTAGTAGGGAGGAAACATTTTCCCCAAGAAAAGAGAAAACCAATGACAAAAATTATGAAAAGTCAATAGAAGATGAAGATATGTTAATTGACAACTTTGACTCAGAGGATGAATTGTCTCTGGGATTGAATTGTAACGTGGTTTCCATATCACCACATGAATACAACCAAATGACTGAAGCTAAAGAAAATGGATAGACAAATGGAGTTGAAATGGCCAAGCATCGGCCTTTTTGTTATTATGTCATGAACAAAGGAGTAGTAGAGGAACAAAATGCGTTCTTCGAGCGCCCAGATAAAGGCATGAATAATCATCTGATACCCTTATTCATAAGGGGTAAGGTGGAAAATGGTGGGATCAATAAAATCCTAGTAGAAGGATGGGAAGTATTTAACCTAATGCCACAGTTCATGCTAAAAAAGATTTGAATGTTCGATACGAGTCTCAAGCCACATAATATGGTTTTCTCAAATTATGAAGGAAAAGTAGGTCACACTCTGGGAGTAATTCAAGTGGATCTTGATGTGGGATCTATCACCAGACCCACCATGTTCATGGTAATTTCCTAAAGGGAAAACTATAATTTGCTGCTTGGGCGTGAGTAAATTCATGGTGTAGGGGCAGTTCCATCCTCACTTCACCAAAGAATTGCAATTTGGATAGAATATGGAATTGTTGAAAATATAGAAGTTGATCAAAGCTATGGAAGAAACCGGAGGAAAACCATCGAGAGTGAATCAATGAAGTTTCCATCAAGTATTTATTTATCCCACGTTAATGGAAAGGAAAATCATTGAAGAAAAACCTGAGAAGGGAGAAGTCACAATCATACGACTGAGAGATCATAGTTCACCTAAAAAATGTTGATGTGTTGTAGGTTTTTATAAACAATGCTAATTTCACATTCTACCGCGGCTCGACCTTTAGAAACTCACACATTGTGGTAGAAAGGAATTAACATGTTCTTATATGAAAAAGGTTTTCAAAGAAAAGAGGCCCAGAGGAAAAAAGATTTGGATTGGTTAGTGCTTTTTATATTGAGAAAAAATTTAAGTATCGTTAGAGCATCTTCTAAATTTTCCAAAGAAAAAGAGTTTGTTTTAGTTATGCAAAAGTGGATAAGAAAAAGAGTCTAAAGGGGACTAACCTATTTTATTCCTAGTGTTATCATACAATAATGGTCCTAAAGTTTGGATAACAAAGTGAAATCTCTACCTATGTAAGCATGCATGGATTACAATCCTAATGTATAACTTACATCAGAAACAAGACCAGCAAATCCTAAGGGGAGCATGGCAAAGGTTCAAAACCTAAAGAAACACGCACACAAGTGAGATTACACAAATTCGAAACCAAAACAAATAAACAAAGCTTGAAGAGTATCCACTCACTCAAGTAGCACACACCTAATCGAGGTAGCATGGCACCAAGATAGGATAAGGAGAGGAATACCTAACCACGATATCATATCATCGAGGTAGGATAAATGAAGTGGGGTACCTAACCATGATATCAAATCATCAAGGTAGGATAAAGGGATACTTAGCCAAGATATCGAATCGTAGAGGCAATCAGAAAGGGGGAACAATGGTTTTTAACCATGATATCAAATCATTAGAGCAAGAAAGGAAGGGTGTCGACTCTTAGCCAAGATATCAAATAATCAAGGCAAGAGAAGAACGAAAGTGAATCATCATAAGAGACTAAACACCTTACCAAGATATCAAAAATCAAGGTAGGAGATAGAAGACAATGATGAGATCACATTAAAGCGTCAATGTTTCACGAACGCGAGCTAAAGGAAAAGTGTGGGGGATCGATTACGAATCCCTTTTCCATATGATTGACTCGATAACAAGAGCAGCATGGTGTTGGCTGAAGATTTTGATATTATGATTCGAAATAAGACGATTGGGCTTTGTTTGAATAAAGCAAGTTTGATGATTTGGAATGGAAGAGACTGTTTGTTTCGAATGGAAATATTAAAGTTCAAGGTTTCGAATGATAGTTGTGGAGTGTAAGTCTAAAGCCTTGTTCGAAATAATGATGAGACTATATTTGTGAGGGTTGTTTTCGAAACGAATTCAAAATGAAGGTACCAAGGCGCTTGAAATTCAAACGTGAGCGGGATATTGGAAATTCAAAATACATAAGCATTGGAACGTTCGAGGACGCGTGGAGGCTAGAGGGAAGTAATGCTCTGCATGCTTCGAACGTGGCAGATTCTGATAACAAAGACCGTTATGGTCGAAGTAGTATAAATAGAGGTCTTAGTGTTAGGATTTCGGGGTGTTATATCTGTTGTACAAATTCAGTAAACATTCAAAATACCGCATGGATAGGGAAACGAATGCTCGAAAGATATACGTATGATAACACCAACATTTACAATTCAATGAAAACTCTTTACATTTTCCAGTTTTGTATTTCACTTCCATTTCATTTGTGCTTCAAACAATTTTACGTTTATGCCTTTACATCAAAGCCTTTACATTCGAAGTCATTTATTTCTTTCTGCATTTAAACACTTTTCTTATGTTCGAATCCTCTAAACATTCAGTAACTTTTACATTCACTTACTTAATCCTGCCATTTGCCCAATCTTAAGTATTTTTACTTTTCTAAAGAACATTCCTGATATCATATAGAAATTGTCCTTCGAATCATTCAGTATAGTAATCGAAGTGGATTGGATATCTTTGAAACAATTTAATTAGAAGTCCTAAATAGGAATACCAGTTTTACAATTAGACTTAACCAAACAACTATGTTCCATAGGATCAATCTAGTCGATCCTGCAAGTTACCAGAGAAATTGAATAACAGTAATTAAGTTTATTCGATAGTTTGGAAGACTAGCGGTTGTTCACTAGAAATTACTGTGAACAAATTGGCACGCCCAGTGGGACCCGTTGTTAAGAAAGTCAAAAGTAAAGATTTTAGGATACGATTTTGCTGTGTAAGTTCTTTTCTGAGTATCAATTTCGCTGTTATATGAACCTCAGAAGTGGTAAAACAACCAATAGTAAACAACCCTTACCCAGAAGAAAACGTAGTAGTATGATGTCTAATCCAAACAATCAACAAGGGGAACAAAATATCCCACATGGAACAGGCACCAATACGTCTGTTTCGACGGGGACGTCTAACGCGATCCCTACGAACGCATAGTCTGTTGCATCTTCTACCAGTAGTGTGGCTACAAATGGAGCAAGT